TCTCTGTGAGTCTGGCTTCTTTTGAGTCCTCCTAGAGTGTTTGTCCTTTGGTGGCTGGCTTGTTTCACTCAGCACAATGTCCTCAGGGCTCAGCCCTGCTGCGGCATAGGGCACGGCTTCCTTCTCTCCCTGCGCGCGGCTGAATGGTGTCACCCTTTTGAAAAACAGCACGGCAGTTCCTCAGGGAAGTAAAAACGGACCTATGGACCTATGGTGGGACCCAGCAGCCTCGCCCCTGAGTATTTATCCTAAAGAGTTGAAACTGGAATCGAGAAGAGATGTCTGTTCTCTCGTGTGAACTGCATGCTCCTCACTATGGCCACGAGCTGGGGACGCCTCCATGGCCCTCGTTGGAGGAAGTGATCGGTGGTGTTTACATACAAGGCAAGCAGTTTCTCACCTGTCCCTCAGTAGCTTGCAGCTCCCTGTTTGCTCAGGAGCTGGGAATCCCAGTTTACTCCTCGTAGGTTCCAGAAGCATCGCTCCTGCCCTTTTACTCAGTTTCTGTTTCAAGTTTGAGTTGAGCCCAGGTGGCAGGAAATAAGCCTGTTTTGGGGGGTTGATCTTCACTCCCATTTTCTGGGTGGAGGGGAAGACTCACTCCTTGCTGCAGAGAGCCCGGGGCCATGGGCAGGGAACACGTGATGCCCAGTCACCCCCTCACACAGGTGGGCCCAGGCAGCGGCTCCTCTAACCAGGGTCACGTGGATGGGGTGCTGGAGACTGGGCCCCAGACATTAATTCCCTGGTGTACTTACAGAGTGGTACACAGAACACAGTTGCTTAAATGGGAGGGCATTTCAGAATGAGTCTAAGCTGTCAGAAAGAACAACATGTTACAGAATTTCTTCTGTATTATGAGCACATATTTGAATCATGTGGCTGTTCTTCTTCCCACAGGCATCAAGTTGGGCAGTCAGCAGAGCCAGGGGCCCAGGGACCTCTGAAAACTCATTAATTAAGGCACAGATGGGGGGAGTGCATATTATATAAGATCATGTAGTACGGTTTCTCAGTATACGATGCTACCCCGTGTTGGTTGACTTGTTTTCCCGCAGGAAGTAGTGTTTCAGCACGGGCCCTCTCAGTGGTGAATGCAGTGTAGACAGGGACATCTCCTGGTAACACCCCAGGAGATGTCCGGGGTGTTACCAGGAAGTGCCCAGCACTGACATGACAGGCAATGAGGGTTTGCAGCAGCGCCTGCATTGAAACGGGCTCTGCAGTTAGCAGGCTGGCTGCTGTGTGGGGCAGTGAGACAACAAAGACAGTCCGAAAGAGAGATTTGCTGGGGAGGTCAGAACTGAACAGAGAGGACAAAGCAAGTTTTCAACATAAATTTAAACACCTTAGAACATTTTATTCTGTATTTATGAGTATAGATACTAGAATTATGCCCAGATGGATAAATTTCTGCCCAGAAAAATGTTTTCCAGTTCATATAAAATTAAGCCATTTTGACTTTCCAAATCCTTGTACAGCAAAGTTAAAGTCTTTCCATTTTTCTATTCTATTAGTTATTTTAATAGACTAGTTTTTATTTATGTTTTGCAATACAAAATTGAGTCATTCCATCAATTGGTTATTTACATGAAATGTTACCAATTGTAGCATCTAGTTTGTCAGTGTTCTTTGAGACCATTTAAACTGGCCAATTTTTAGAGCTTTAAGTTTTGACAAAAAGATCTGATGCTTTAATGAATAACATGTATCAGTACATTTAATTATATTTACCGTCTGTGGACAGCAGTGACAGCGTTTGGACAGGGTCAAGCCTCGGACTGAGAGGGCATGGTCCTCTCCTGGCAAAGCCACATGCAAAGCCCGCCCGGCACAATTATAGCCAAAGGCTATGGCTGTAATCCTGATCTTATGGTCCGAACCTGTGGTCTCACGTGGCTAAGTGATATGGCTGTGGGAGGTGCAGCAAGTAAAAGAAGCTTGATCAGGTGTGTGTAATTGAGATTTGAAACCCATGAGAATGTTGTAACCACGTCCTTACTTTGCCTCGTGGAATCTGGTATAAAATAAAGACTGAGCTTGCAGGTCATGATGCAATCTCTCCCTCAGAGAGCAGTCCCCACCTGTCCCCAGCTTTCTTCTCTTGTCTGTCTTTTCTTAATCCTTCACCACCCCTCTCAGGATCACCAAACCTGGCTGTGCTAGTGCGACACAACCATCAGATTTATTTTTGCTTTCTTGCACTTGATTTTCACACACATGCACACATAGTCACACTCACTCACACTCACACTCACTCACACTTATGCACACAAACACACACACTCATACCACACACACACTCTCACACCCACACTCACAAACTCACACACACACACTCACACACTCTCACACACACACATGAATTTTACATTCTTGAAGCCAAATCTTTACACACAAAAATAATGATCACAATAAAAGTTCCTAAAATTGAAGTTCAAATTATACTAGAATTTAAAGCTATTGATACAACTCATAAATTTTTGATGTGGTCAGCCCTACATTTGCCAGGAAGTGTGCTTACACACACACACACACACACACATATGCACAGGCACACACAAATCTGGGGAATGATTCGCTTTGAGGCGCACAGCACCATAATTCAGTTGTAACTAAGCTGGGAAGTTATATGTCCCATAAGTGGCAGAATCAAGGTTGGAATATTGCTTGTTGCACTCTGAAATGACAACTGCCCTCGAACCTTCTTTACTCAAAATCAATTGCTAGATAACTAGATAGATATATAGATGATAGACTGATAGATATAGATATGATAATCATTTGTCCCAAATGATAATCTTCCCAAAATAGCATACTATATATTAATAGCATTGATAATTTGATAATTACCCATTCTCTAAAATATTCTCCAGTAATACAATAAAGGCATTACTGAGAATCTCTCTTTCCATGCCAACCTTAAGCACAATCCTATAACATATTTACCATGAATAACTTAATCTCTGAAAACAGCAGACAAGAAATTAAGTTAGCATTGTTTTATTACATCCTTTATTTGTAAATATTACTTCACACATCCAATTTTTGCTATTTTAACCTGCCACGTTTCTTTAAAAGTAAAGTAACTATTTTAATAGCAAACACCACTGCATTTTATACAGGCAGTTAACTGCTTCTTTGTAAAAATAAGAAAAAAATAATCTGTCCATTTACATTAAAAATTTAAGAGCTGGAAAAATGAAAGCCTTAAAAAGATATTTTTTTATACTAAAACAGCGTAATTTCCAACTTACACATATAAGGAAAGAATACTACATGTAAATGATAGTCCCCATATACACACACACATACATGTATGGTTAGTCCAAATGACATTCCTATAGCACACTGCCACTTCATGGGCTCACTCAGTCTTCCTGCCCCACAGTCTAAGGAAGAATTTGGGGGGAGAGGGGCATAGATGCCAATTCATAGCTGCAAAATTTGTATGGTTAAGTTTATTTTTCTTCCAAAATGTCCTTCTGTTGGTGATAGTAAATAAAGGTTTATAGTTGTATGTGAAATGCACAGCTTATTCTTGTATTGGTATTATTTACTAATTACTATGGTATTTATTTGCATTACAACTATAAACCTACTCTTGCTCCATATTTCTAGCTCAGTTTTTAAATTGTCACTTGAAGCAAGTATGCATCACTGTGATCAGATCTGGCATGAATTATGTATTCACCATTTGGCGTTTGGAATGTCACTGTCTTGAAGTATCCCATACACAAAGCCAGGAAGTGTTACATTAAACAGCTTAAAGGACATTAAATTCCACCTAGGGGTTAAGTTTTCCTCTATTCTTCTGATTCTTGACATTTTGTACTATCTACCTGCCTAAAAATGGAGTAATACGCTCTATTTGAAAATGGCAGTGAATGAAAATGCATGTTTAGTTCTCATTGCTACTTATCACTATGAGGTGTCTTTTTTTTTCTTTCTTTTTTTCTTTTTTTTTTTCAGATTACAAGGCATTACCCATAATCCATCGAAGCATAATGATTTCAAATGACTACCACAGAGGATATAGGAGCCATATGTACTAAAGTTGCACATGAAAACATAAAAGTACAATGCTCAAGAGAAGAAAAGCAACATTTTCCCAATATGGCAAGTTTTTAGTAGTAGTCCTGAATCTCAGAAAGAAAGAAAAAGTTAAGATTTGGGATTATGATCTGAATGAAAGATTTTTAGTATTTTAAATTCATTACAATACTGGCAATAACACTGTATATAGTGAATATAATTTTGTTTCTTGAGAATGAGGAAACTTATTCCTCAGAATAATCCTTTATAAACATAAAAACACATGTGCGAAAGCATAAAATCACAAGTTTTTGGTGCACACTTTTTTAGGGCAGTTGAAAGTTATGGCTCTGTATTTTGAGACCTTTATTAGGGCAACCGAATAGATAAGACTGCTCTTCATTATCCTGTTGCTAACCGGAAGAAAACAGAATTCCAGAAATTGTAGGGGCTACTGACTAGGTACTACTGTCTTTTAGAGCTAAAAATATAAAAATAAAAAAATAAAAAACCAACAACATTTGCCATCGTGTTTGAAATAACCCTATCCCACTGAAATCTAATTTAGAACAACAGAATTTCAGCTCTGCCATATTCAACCAAACATCGCTTAGCTATTGTCAGACTAATATTTACCCAACATAGTTATTGGGATAATATCTGTGAAGGAGAGCAGATCATGTATGGACTCCGATTCCAACGCTCTCGCACAAGAGTTGCTAATTGGCTATTGACTCAGCTCTCAAGAAAGTGAAATCGGTTTTCACATGTGAACCTGAGGGAAAGGATACGCAGTAACTTGCTTGAAAAGTACAAATGGGCAATTAGCATAATTCAAATTTTAGAAAAAGTCATATACAGTCACATGTGAATATTTAGACCCTGAAACTGAACTTGACAGCATTCCTTTTGGAAACCTCCAGAATGCCGGACCAAACCCGGGAATGGTGGGTGCGCGGCCATGTTTATCTCTTGGTGCATGCTTCGGCCAAGGCGGTGAACTTAGATCCCAGCTGGTTGAGGAAGTCCAGGCCCTCCTCGTCCTGCTTGTCGCTGCAGCAGCCCACCGAGCCCCCCGGGGACCCCCGGCCCTCGTAGTGGTAGCTGAGCACGTAGTCCTGCGAGGAGAGGTGGTCTTCGTTCTGGTTGTACAGGTGCAGCTTCTGCAGAGCAAAGCGAAGCCGTTGCATTACTGCTTTACACACACCAGCATAGAAACAGGAAATAGAGTTGTTATTTACCTTTTAGGTTTAATTTTTAACCAGTGTGTCCTCTAATGGAGTCCTACACACAAAAAATGCACATGATTGGTCTGTGTCACAGCCACACCCGGAAGTCAGCACAGTTCACATTTCTGATAGCCCGCACGCATGTAAAACGATGTACATAAATGTCATATGTAAGTACATTTACACTACCCTTCCATGCTCACCCCACAGTGCATAGCTGAGGCTGGTCCAGTCCGCAGAACGGGACCCCACGCAGGTGGGTAGGCACTGGAGTTTGAGTGGCCAGACAGGCCTGGTTGGAGTCCCGCCTCTGGCCTTACCAACCAGGAGGGAACAGTGTTGTCTCCCTCTTCTCCAGGCCGAACTAGCCAGCGGCTGCCTCATGGGGCCAGTTTTAAATGCCAAAGGAGGAGTGCATGCAAACAGAGAGTGTGGGTAGACAGAGCTGGTGGGAGTGTTGGGGGGGGGGGGGTGGACTGAGAAAAATAAATAGAGAGAGCGAGAGAACTGAGGGACACAGACAGCAGTGTGGAGATTGCTGGGGGAAGAAGGTGGTGGAGGTGTAAGAGGGTATAGGAGGGATAAATGGTGATTTTAAAAAAAGCAAAAATATTCTTCTGCCCAGAACATAGTAAACAAACAACAGATGCTAATTAAAATCACTATGTACTATGTGCAGTTAGCAGGTAGGGTTGGAAGTGGTCTATGGGGAGGGGGGAGGGAGCAGAAGGACATATGTAATACTTTCAACATTAAAAGAAAAAAAAAAGTAGGTGAGCATAACCTGATTGGCTTCAAAATCAAGTTTACAAGATGGTCCAAACAAGACAAAAGAGAAATGCACAAAACATTTCAATAAAGTTTAAAATAGCGTCACTCACATGGCACAAACCTGGCCTGGGGACAGAGCCAAGCTTTCCTCCCCGGCTCCCTGGCCTGTCCGCTGGCCGGCCACACTCCTGCGCCTGCCCCCTCCTCGCCTGTGCTGCCCTCTCGAACCCGAGCTCGCTGTCCTGTCTTGTGTAATCAGCGTCTTCCTTTGTGACCCTGCAGCCCCCCATTACCTGAGGTCACACTAGGAATGCGTCTTAAGCTTCGCCTCTCCCCACCCTGATAGTACATGAAACTGACCTTCTAGAAACGGGGATAAGATTAACGCTTGGATTTCATGGGGAAAAAACAAAAACATGCTACGGACATATGATAAGCTACAGCTGTATCACAGAACGTGGCCCATGTGCCTTCCCTCAAAGGACGAAGGGCTTTCCGCCCGGTGTTGGTGTCCAGGGCCCTGGTACCCTCTCCTCACAGATGTGGAAGCTCAGTGGAGGGAGCATCCAGCCCAGTGCTTCTCCCCCTGGGCTGCTCTGGGAGCCCCCTAAGGAGCTCTGGCAGGGTGAGGGCGGGGAGGGGCACAAAAATGCCAAACCAGAACATCAGCATCTTTCCAGGCCACGTGTCATTCTTTAAAAGCTCCCGGGAATTCGAAGGTGCCACCGGGATTGACACACGTTATACCTGCGTGGGGCTTTGTACATTAAAAACCATTCAGACAGATTGTATTGTCCCACATGGATCCTAGAATTGTGTGCGGATGCTTGGTTTCCACAGAGAAGTGGAGATTTGATTTGAGGAGTTTTGTGATTGTGAGAAATGAGATTTTTTTTTTTTCTATTAAAAGAGCTTGTGAGGTAAACACTCACCTAAAACTAAATTGAAACATCAGGGAGGGATATGAAAAACCTGCAAGGGTCATGAGATTTTAGAAATTAAGAGAATATGAAGGATGAAGTAAAATCCCTTTTATATTAAATAATGTAACATAATTGAAGAGCAGGGGAACAGAACCAGAGAGTGAGAAGGAAAGAGGAAACCATGAAGAATATGGTGAAGCGGTTTCTTAAAAAATACACTGAGTGGCCAGATTATGATGAACACATAATCACCAGGCCACTCAGTGTATATCCTATATAATAAAAGACTAATATGCAAATTTTCCCTCGACCAATCCCCTCCCCCTGGCCAGGCTGGCCAGATCCCACCCATGCACAAATTCATGCACACACACACACACACACACACACACACACACACACTCTGAGTGGCCAGATAATTATGCATTCAGAGATCATAATAATCTTGCCACTCAGTTACATGTTAATCTCAAGTTCCTATTGTTCTCCTCTCAGACATTTAACAGCGGGAGTCGCCCAGGGAAGCTCACCTCGCGCAGGCGGGGCTGCGTGAAGCTGTGCCACTCAGAGTACGTGTATCTGGAGGTGTCCATGTCCCCGTGTCCTACCCGGGAGTCCAGCGTGTGGTGGTGGCCGCGGCAGGAGTCCAGGGTATGGTGTCCGCCTTTCACCATCTCAATGGTTTCCAGCCCCCCGTTTTTCATGCCCGGACCCATGGTGCCACAGAAGCCATGGTTGGAGTGGTTGACTGTCTGGGTCATAAACCCATTGGCAGAACACTGAAATGAAATGAAATAATGAAATGAAATGAAATGAAATGAAATGAAATGAAATGAAATGAAATGAAATGAAATGAAAGAGACCATTCATCCCTGAGAACATGGGTTCCCAGTCAAATCACCAGAAGGCAAGGGAGAAAGAACATTTACTCAACCTTTAATTCACGCATTCCGTCATTTATTCATTCCTTAAGACACCTATCTCTTTTCAATGATGTGTTCAGTCTAGAGAAGCAAAGACAACCATGGCATTCAGTGGCTCCGAGAAGTCCTTACTCCAGTAAGACAGACATAGATGATGACTTGAGGAATGTGACTATTCTGACAGAGGGGTGAACACAGAATGTACAGGAGCACAGAGAAAGCCCATCAGAGTGCAAATCCAGAGAGGTTCACTGCAGCAGACCTGGAGAACCGAGCTGAAAGACTCTCACTGGGAATGGGAGCGAATGGCCACCGGCAGGAGGGTCCGGGCCCTAGACTACAGAGCAAAGGATGCTTTGGGGGTTCTCGCCTTCAGCCTGTTGAGACTGTCTTCCACACAGAGTTCAGACAGAGAGAGAGGGAACTGGAAGGCCATGAAAGGCCAGAGGGCATGAAGACTCCATGCAAGCCTGAAACATGTAGATGATCCTGAGCCTACAAGGACTCAAAGAAAGGCTTCCGTAACTTGGAGAAGCATATTCTTTTAATCATTCTAGACAATCATGTGAAAGACAAATAAGAAAGACGAGTTTAGCGTCCTGGAGATCAGGAAGGCTAACGGATCATTCTAGGTGGGAAATGATAAGGACCTACGCCAGAGTAGAAGCAGGGGTGATTAAAAGAAGTCGAGGAAAGAGAGTAGTGAAAACCCGGGTGTGTGTGTGTCAGGGCTGGGAGGTAAAGAGGGGGGATGGGAGATATCTGTGATACTATCAACAGAGAAAAATATATTTAAAATTAAAGATAAAAGAAGTTGACGAACGCCATGGAGAGCTCAGTGGGGGCGGCGGCAAAGGGTCAGGAATAACTGCTAAGTGCTCAGCTGTGCAACTAGCCTGACGGTACAATTCACCTGGAAACAGGGAAGAAGGAGGTGCTGTGGGGAGAAGGGTGTAAGCCATTCCACTTTGGACTTGGTAAACTTGTGTGACATCCAAGATGCGTACGTAAATGTGGGGATCTGGAGCTCAGGTGTGACATCTGAGCTGGAGGTGGAATTCGGGGAGTCCTTCCCCCCTACAGTGGTAGTTGAAGGCCGGGGAATAAATGCCATCAGCCAGAGAAGACTGTAGACTGAAGGACAAGAGGGCTGGGAATAAAACCACAAGCGAAGCCCATTCCGAGGGGTGCATACAGGCATTAGAGCTGTGACAATCCATCCGGAATCGCCAAGAGAGGGACCCAAGGAGGCATGACTCAAGCCATGCAAAGGGATGTGATAAAGAGGCCATTGATCAAAGTAGGAAAAAAAACTCAAAGTAGGATGAGAACTTGTCAAATTGAGTTAGTACCAGGGAATTCTAGTAAAAAAAAAAAAAAAAAAAAAAAAGTGACCACCGGTGATCTTTACCAAGAGAATTTCCACGGAGAGCTGAGGGAATAGGAGTAATGTCATAGGGAAATCGAGTCCAGTTTCAAAAAAAGAGAGAGAGAGATACAGAGGGAACGAGAGAAGTTCAACACAGGTGAGAAGTTCAGTTGTAGTGGTCACCTCAGGGGCCAGTTCTGATTATAAACCGTTACGGTCATGACAAGATCTCCCATCACCACCCGGCTGTCCTGTGCCATCTTCTCAGCCATCTAGCTTTCTACATGTAATATGCAGAGCCTCTGACTAAAATGGAGGATTTTCAAGTTCAGGTGACTTACTGAACCTGAACTGGTTCTATAAAAGTCACACCTACCCTCTCACTGCCTTAGGAAAAGATGGAAAAAGAGAACTGAGAAGTAGCCATTTGGTGGCACTGCTAGTCTATATTTTTTCCCGAGGTTGCTGCTACAGTACATTTCTATTACCTAAAAAATCCTGACTTTCAAATGTTGATAGTATAATGTTGTCACTATAAAAACATGCTCATCGATCATATCTCCAAGCGAATGAGAGGAGAACTGAAAATAAACTAACATGGAAGCTGAGCCCAGTGCTGTTCTACATTCTCTCTACTCTGTTCCTGCCACCCCCCTCCAGGTGCTTCCCAGTTTCCTCTCCCGGGAACCACAGACCCTTCAATGTGTCAGAGACTCCAGATTTACCTTCCCAGTCCCACCCCATCTTCCAACTCCCAGCCCCATCTTCCAACACACACACACACACACACACACACACACACACACCACACACACACACACACACACACCACACACACACACACCCCACACACACACACACACACACTCACACACACACTCACACACACCACACACACACACACACACACACACACCACACACACACCACACACACACACACACACACACACACACTGGGACATTTTCTTCATTTATCTTCAGAGTTTTTAGCAAGTGATTTTTTTCTATTATAAATAGTCAAAGAAAAAAATAATCTCTGGAAATATACATTGCAGAGAGCAGTCAAACAGACTGTTGTTATAATAAATGTACCACCTCAAAGAACAAGTTTTAAATGGCAACAGGAGAGAGTGGGAGAAAGACAACTGAAACAACACATCTGGTCTAGCCAGGGACGTAAAGGCCACCGCACGCATGTTGGAATACCGCCAAGATATACTTGTTCTGTGAACTCTCATGCCTGCAAGACCTTACCCACTGAGAGCCATCCCTAAGCTTCTTGATGTCCAAATAACTTTACCTTCACGAGGACAAGCTAAGAGGTTATGGGAGATGCTCGGAGGTAAACGTTCACGTAAGAAGATGACTCACCACCTTGTCATCGCCAGGAGCCTCGGTGTTGGAAATAATGAGATTTTGCTGCGCCAGGTCCTCAGGGAAACCTTTCTTCTTCCTGGCCCCGACGACGCCGCACACTAACGTCAGCAGTACGGCTGCGAGTGAGACAAATGGGGGTACGGAAAGTTGAACGTCCATAGAATTCAACACCCATCTCTTGTTTACCTTCTCTCCTCGGGTGCACAGGAGACACATACAGGCGCTAACCAGGGTGTCCCCTGAATCACCTTGACCTTCTAAGTCAGCGGTTCTCAACCTTACTAATTGCGGCGGCCCTTTAATACAGCTCCTCATGGTGTGGTGACCCCCAACCGTAAAATTATTTTCATTGCTGCTTCATAACTGTGATTTTGCTGCTGTTAATGAATCGGATCCAACCAGGATCAGGAAATAAAATTCGACATTGGCAGACTTAGCACCATCTGAGGCAGGTTCAAGAGTTCTGTCCAAGCCCTGGCTGGTGTGGATCAGTGGATAGAGCAACAGCCACACACAACAAAAGGTCTTGAGTTTGATTCCTGGTCGAGGGCAGGTACCTGGGTTGCAGGTTCGATCCCTGGCCCAGTAGGGGCTCATGCAGGAGGCAATAAATCTCTCACATTTGGTTTTCTCTCCTTCCCTCCCTTCCTTTCACTCTCTCTAAAAATATGTGGGGGGAAAAATATCCTTAGGTGAAAATTAACATTAAAAAAAAAAAATAGGAGTTCTTTCAAGCCAGCGTGACTCAGTGGTTGGGCATCGACCTAGGAACTAGGAGGCCTAGGAACTGGTTCAGTTCCTGATCAGGGCGCATGCCTGAGTTGTGGGCTTGATCCCTAGTATGTGGCGTGCAGGAGGCAACCAATCACTGATTCTCTCTCATCATAAATGTTTCTCTCTCTCTCTCCCTTTTTCCTCCTCTCTGCAAGTATATTAAAAAAAGAGAGTTCTACCCAAAACTGAAATCTTTCATATCAAAATGGATCCTGCTCCTCTCACAGAACAAGTCCATCAGAACTGGGATAACAACAGGAGAGGAATTTGTGAAGGGGACTCACACCTGAGGGATGGTTGGACAGGATCGCTCTTTGAGGACCTCCGCCCACACTCGGATATTCACTACGTACTTGAGGTTTCGGTGAGGAAGGGGACTTACAGGAAAGCAGCGCCAGGCCCAGCAGGATGGCCAGGATGGCCCACTTCCCGAGCGACGCCCCCGCGCTCCTCGCTGTCATCTGACACTGGCTGGGGTGTGTGCAGTCGCACAGGTTCACTCGCAAGGTTTTGGTGGCAGACTGCCCTGCTCTGTCTCTCACCGTCACGGGGATATAATATTCCTTCGCCTCGGCATTCTTCTGATAGGAAAGACGGGCAGCTGTATCTGCAATGAAAGAATTACAAGGTAACGAACATGTGTCTCACCACGCCTGTTTGTAAGGAGCTATCTGCCACATCCTATCTAATAACAGAGTGATATGCAGATTGACCATCACTCCAACACACAAGATGGCTACTCCCATGTGGCCAAAGATGGCTGCCTCCATGTGGACACAAGATGGCCACCACAAGATGGCCAGCAGGGGAGGGAAGTTGGGAGGGACCAGGACTGTAGGGGAGGGCAGTTAGGGGTGACCAGGCTGGCATAGAAGGGAAGTTGGGGGCAACCGGGCCTGCAGGGAAAAGCAGTTAGGGGGGGGGGGGACCCAGGCCTGCAGGGGAGAGCAGTTGGGGGGGACGGGGGACCAGGCCTGCAGGGAAGGGCAGTTAGGGGGGGGACCCAGGCCTGCAGGGAGAGCAGTTGGGGGGAGGGGGGGACCAGGCCTGCAAGGGAGGGCAGTTAGGGGAAAACAGGCTGGCAGCGAGCAGTTAGGCATCGATCAGGCTGGCAGGGGGGTGGGTAGGGGTGATCAGGCTGGCAGGCAGAAGTGGTTAGGGGCAATCAGAAAGGCAGGCAGGCGAGCAGTTGGGAGCCAGCAGTCCTGGATTGTGACAGGGCCTAACGGGGCAGTTGGACATCCCTCGAGGGGTCCCAGATTGGAGAGGGTGCAGGCGGGGCTGAGGGACAACCTTCCCCCATCTCTCATGCACGAATTTCATGCACCAGGCCTCTAGTAAATATAAATAAAAATGGGTAGCTATCTTCAACTTTTCCAAGCGCTAACCTTACTGCACATGTGTTGCTCATTGTAACTGTTTAGAGAGAAGCTTAAGGAAAGAATTTGGCATTGGAGTGACCCAGTTGCATTTCAGCAATACTTCATAGTTCCTTACTTATTCTCTTTTTTACAAACTAATAATGCTAGATTGGCTTTTTTTTTTAAAATTATCGTTACTGTTTAAAGTATTACCGTTGTCCCCTTTTCCCCCATTGATCCCCTCCACCTTGTACCAGACTTCCCCCACCACCACCCCCGCCTTCACCTCACTATCGTCTGTGTGCATGGGTTATTTGGTTAATCTCTTCCCACTCCCCCTCACCCACCCCTACCTCTTGACTTCTAACATACATTTCAAGCGTCTTTCTGCAGTACCAGTGTATGACACTCATGGAACATTAACACACACAGTCACAAACAAGGGATGTTTTAAGCTCACATCTTCGTATCCATTTACCTCCTCGTACCTACCTGTCCATTACAAGGACATTTTTCAAAACACCATGGACCCTTTGTGGTCCATGCCCTGCCTCTGAAAGTAATCTCAATACCAGAAGCTAATCAATATCACAAAGACAGCCCTCTATCACAACAGTACATGTATGTCAACTGTGATCTTTCCCCCAACAGTCTCGATACCTTAGTTTAATGATCCGATCACCAATGGACCAAAAGATCTATACATTTTCAACTGCAATGACAGCCTTGCTAAGTTTTTGCAACACACTGAGTGGACTGACAAAGCATAACACGCACAGGAATCTGTGATTTCTAAGCTGTGCTTACATGCACGGTGATATTTGGGGGATCAGCAGCACGTTGGCTGCACCTCCTCACTGCAGCTTTGAGAGGAACGTGAGTCGCCACGCGGGTTCACGTGGCCCCTCAGAAGCACCCCGTGCCTGAGGTAAGACCGTTCCATCCCGCTGCCCCTCAAGGCTGCAGCGGAGCCCTCGTCCTGCTCACTCACCCCCGAGCACACCAGCCTCGGACTCTCCTCACCACTCCCCTCTGCGCTCTTCAAATTGCCTCTTAAGTGTCACCACGTCAGCTGTTTCCGACATAAATCTGGACACAGTGTCGCCTGCATACACTCCCGTGCATACCTGGGGTCACTACTAAGTAGCGCGAAGGCCATTCTCCTTGGCCTGGTCCATGGGCTCATCACTTCCAGATCCGCCCTTCCTTCCGCCCGCTCTCACAGCACTCCAACGAAAGCTTTCTGAACACCAGCAGCACGGATTTCCTTACGACCCCAGTGTTTTCCTTCTCTCACGCACATATATCAATGAATTAGGGACTCAACTAACTTTTATTAAACGATGAGTGTCTGCTAAGCACTGGGCTAGGTACTGAAATGAAAAATAGATGGCGGGTGCCTTGAGAAACTCATGTGTACATTGCAGGAGAAACGTAAACAGATGACAGCACCACTGAAAAGTGCTGTAATAAAAGCAGCAAAAGGTCACAGTGTCCCTGCTTCTACTTCCAGAAAAACTTCTTAAACATGTGGAATCATGTCTTCCTTGCTAATCTCTATACACATCCCAGGGTCTGCAACAGTGCCTGCGAGGTAGTCGATGCTCGATAACTAGCTTGACTTAATATCAAGATAAGATATGGGAAGGGAGGTATTCTAGGCAGAAGGAACAGCCTACAGGAAAGTCCAAGTACGCGAGAGAACATGACCTAGCAACCCAGAGGCAGTGAGTCATGGCTGAAACACAGACAGACCACGCTCCCCAAAAACCAGTCCCAGACACTGCCCTGAGGCTCCAGCACCAGGCCTCTGTCCATACCCGACACGTTCCCTTCCAAACTACCACCGAGTGCTTGGCCCATACCCCGACTCCTCACTCCCAGAGCTGGCTCCCAACCACGTCCACACTGCCCCCTTCCATCTTCTCTTCCCCCCACTGGAGTTGCTTAAAAACAGCAACACATTAGTGATGAGCTGCCCGACATTTTAACAAATCAGTTTTGTCTTCATTGTAAAAGTAAATTTTGCCACTATGAAAATTATGTCTCATTTTGTGTACAATATATAATATAGGCCCCCTACAAAAGTCTGTTAGGCTTTTAAAATATGTTAATACGAATCAGTGGTACATGTGTCATGTGAGTAACCAAGTACACCCGTTCTCCACTGCTCCAGGGCATCTAAGTGAGAGTTTGAGTGGATACCGTTAACTTTGGAGAGGGTCCATATTTTGTTGACTTCTGGAGTCGGGTTTGCCAGGCTGAAGTAAAACGGGGCGCCATGGATAGGTTCGTCGGCGTCAAAAGCTGAAATGTCCGTGTACCCCATCTTCGGCTTGCAGATTGTCACGTAATCTGGGCGTATTTCTGGCGCGTTGTCATTCACATCTTCGATGCTCACCACAAGCGTTCCAGTGCACGATTTGTTATCTGGGAAGAAGGGAAAGGTTTGGTGTGATTTTTAACGTCTTTTCTAGTTTCTTAAGAAAAAAAATCAAGTAGATTCTAAATCGGATGGTTTTTAAATAAACTCCCGGTTATTAAAAGAAATGATAAATAAGAACATTCTGTATAATAAAAGAGTAACATGCTAATTAGACCAGACGTCCTTCCAGGTGAAGCCAGGGCCGGAGGGAAGCCCAGGTCCTGGGTATCTGCCAACAGCTGGAGGGAAGTCAGCCCGGGTCCCAGGTGCCTGGGCAGTCAGAGGAGGGAAGCAGCCCGGGTTCCAGGTGCCAGAGGAAAGCAGGTGCTGGCAGTTGGGGAAAGGAAGGCCCACTCTGGCATGAATTTTGTGCACCAGGCCTCTAGTATATGGATAAATGAAACCTGCACATCATGAGTACTACTGTTGATAATAACAGACACAACTGCCCATTAACTTTTACCAAAGTTATTACCAAAAAAAATAAATAAATAAAAGTCTGAATTTAACTCCACTTCCTTGGGTCCCCCTGAGAAGTGACATAACCACAGAAAAAGTATTCCAATCCCAGAACACATTAAAACCACCGAGGCAGTTTTTAAACAGATGATGTCCAGGCTGCCAATCAGAGATTGTGGTTCAGTTGGAATGAGGTGTGTCTATACCTTGAGATATTTTTTTAAGCATCACAAATTATTTATAGATAAAACAGGGTTGATAAGTTCTGGGTTACTTTAGAAAACAGAATTCAAAGAAAGAATCATTTTGACCTAAAAGTCAGCTAGGCTATTGAGAGTCTCAATTTAAAGTTACATTTATACATGGAATACTATGCAGCTATCCTTCTTTTCTTTTTCTTTCTTTCTTTCTTTTTTTTTTTTTTTTTTTAAAGAAGGATCTCTTACCCTTTGAGACAGCATGGAGGGACCTGGAGAGTATGCTATGTGACATAAGCCAGTCAGATAAGAATCACATGACCTCTCACACATATGGAATCAAATGAACAAGTTTAACCTAGGAACAAGATAAATCCAGAGACAGGGAAGCATGCCACGGACTGAGGATTCTCAGAGAGAAGGCAGTTGGGGAGAGGTGGGAAGAAGGGGAGATTAACCAAAGAACTTATATGCATATATGCACAGTTCATGGGCACAGACAACAGTGGGGGAGACCTGGGAAAGGGAACGGGAGGAGGGAGAAAGGGTCAATGGGGGGAAAAGTGGGACATCTGTAACACTTCCAACAAGAAAGATAGATTTGAAACATGCACAAAAGTGACGTGAAGCGTTCTCGGAGAGCCTGGGGGGCCTCTTCCTTGGCCCTGGACCTCAGTCGCACCTGTGTCCCCTAACATGGTCCGTCGCCCCTCACGGCCTGCCACAGGGGGACACGTTTTTTAACCAGACACGGCTCCTGTTTCCGAGTGCGTTCCCCTCGTTGGTTAAGAGGAGCTGGAACAGAGTCTTTAAGGCGATTTCCGAGCATTCAGTCTACTTATCACAGGAACAATTCTGCACAAGGAAAGGCGCATTGCCCCGGGTTCTCTCCGTAAACACCGGAGGAAGACTCTGTTTACCTTGGTCTATGGCCAGGACTGTGACGTTGTACAGCTCATTCCTGGGGGCGGAGGTCTCCCTGTCCAGAATTTTGGAGGTCTGGATGGACCCCGAAATCTCATCAATGGAGATCCACCCGTTGGGATCGTGCAGCTTTTTGTACCTGTGAATGGAGAACGTCATCAGAGAGCAGTCTAACAGGTGTCAGAATGAGTGCTGTCCCCACGGCTTCCAGGGCGTGTCAGGACGGGGTCTCCGATGCCCCTGCACCTTATGCCGCTGCTGCTCTTGGTCTCGGGGTCGTAGGCCTTGTAGCCGTTCATCCTGGACCCCACGGCCGCGTTCTCCCGGATCCGCACGTGCTGGGCGGCGGGCTTGCACTCGGGCCCCTCGTCCTGGTTCTGCACGTGGACCGTGACCTCCGCTCTGTTCGCGGGCGTCCTGAGCGCCAGGTCTCTGGTGAAAGGGGCTTCGTTGGCCACCCCAATTTCCAGGACCACTTTCCGGTTTTCCTCATAATCCAGGGGCTTTGGGAAGGAACACACGTGTCTCAGTCAGAGCGGGCAACACATCTGGCGCCTCAAACAGCGTGGGGACTTGTGTCAACGTGAACAGTGCCCACATTCTCCTGCCTCCAGGTCGGTCAATATTGACTTCTGCCCTTTGCTGAAGAGGGAGGAATTATACACCAGGCCTTTAGCCAGAGCGGGCCCACAGTCCCTGCAGGGGCTTTAGGATTATGAAAAAGCAATTCTTTAAATACTTGTATGCTTTGTTCTCACTAAAAATAGTATTCTGAACTGGGAGATAATGCAAAAAAAATTAAAATGACATTGTCGTATGACCCTGCTTTAGTGCACTGACAGACCAGCATACCAGTCATCTGACTAAAGAATAGAACCTTGTTTGACTTAATATTTACTATTGACTGGGGCCCAAGCACTTGACAGTTCTTAGAAAATTAGATGTTGACTTAAACAAAATTGAAAAGATGCAATACTCGTATTCTCTCTCTGATAGAAAAGGTATTCCAAATACGTGTTTTGAAGCATGAATATCATTTCTATCAGGCGTATAACTGAGCAATCATCTTTCAGCTTCTCCTTTTCTCAAAACCCAGCCTGGATCTCATTTCTTCTTAGGAATCTGCTGTCTTTTTGCTGGTTCCTTCATTAAAAGCTAAGCAGAGCTTTTTTACCCACGCTCACTATTTTTATGAAAATTATGTTTTGACAGTTTGAGAATTGTACTTTGGCACTGTCTGTAGTTTACTCCAAGAAATTCTCACCGTGTAAACAAAGTGGAGTAAGAGTAACAAAACATGCTTAATGGTGCTTTATTATAATTAACCTGTTTTTTCAGAACAAGAAAGTAGAGAAGAGGAGTTGAAATGATTTTCCCACAGTTCAGAGATTCTCGTCTGAGCTGGAGTCTGATGCCAGGTGGTCTGGCTTGGGTTCATTTCCTTAATCACCACATTATACTTGCTCTGCTACTCTATGCTGCTTAACTGGTTCGCCAGCCTCTAAAATTGTTTAAATCAATCCTCTCACTATAATTGACTTTCAGATAATAAATCAAGCAAAACCTATAACACACTATTCTACACAAAAAGTTGAAACACTTTTCCTTTGATAATCTTCAATTTATAAAAATAATCCTGGCTGACAGCCAGAGAAAGACAAGTACCCTATGATTTCACTCATATGTGGAAACTAATAAAATAAAGTAACATAATAGAAACAGACTCATAGGTGCAGAGAACAGACTGTCAGCTGTCAGAGGGTATGGGGGTTGCAGGGCTGGGTGAAGAGATTAAGGAAAACAAACTCATAGACATGGTCCACAGCAGAGTGATTGCCAGAGGAGAAGGGAGCAGATGGAAGGAGACTTGATTTGGGTAGCAAACATATAATATTACCCATGAAGCCTATACAATTTTATTAACCTAATAAATTGAATAAAAAAGAAAAGAAAAATCCTGGCTGAACATGGAACAAAGTCAAAACTGAAGAGTACTATCTTTGTTTCAAACCTTCCCCACTCTGAGGTATTAGACTGAGAAACTAACCTCATCATGAGTCCACTAAGAATTCAAGAGAATATCAGAATCTTAAAATCTGTGAAGTGCTTTTGATTTTTATCTATCCCAGAAACAAGAGGGACAATGCGCTGATATCTGTTTATTTGTTGCTAATGAACACTGTCTCACACATTACGTGCGCTGGGATGAGCGTGCAGACAGGTGGAGCACCTGCTGACAATGGGAAGTAGATGGAAACTGAGGCAACAGCTGCTGCCCGGGAGGAGGGGCAGTTAGTCCAGCCGGGGCCACCTGCTCACTAAAGCCTCCGAATCTTTTATGTCATTTTTCAAGGCTTCAGATGGCTATCATCTTAGTGGCTCAAAACTCTGCCTGGTCAGAAATCTGCTGGGACGAAACCAATGATTGATGAGAAAAGCATGAGTTCTCTTCCACCATGGGGTGTCTTTTTGTTTCATCAATTGAAATAAATTGTTCAAAAATAGCTCCATTCTGCCCTGAGAGGCTAACAACTCCCTAGAAAGTGTTGTATGAAGTGAAATGCCCTCTGTATGAAGCGAAGCCCACATGCCCTGCTGCTGCTGAAACAGACGCCAACAAGCAAACTGAGATGGGACGCTCCCCCAGGACTCTGCTAAATCCTGTATCGACTCATGCTCGACAGTTCCAGAAAAGTTATTTTTTCTTTAAAGATGAAAGCCATCTTTCTATAAAAAATTATAGCTATGTTAATACTTTTAAAATGTACTAATAATATCCTATAGTTTATTGAATGTTTTCATTTTCATTATTATATTGAATAGCTACTACAGAGGCAGAGGTCATTATTACCGTATGTACTTTTTACTGATCATAAAAGGCTCACTTGTTTCGTGGGATGAACAGTTAAAGGGCACTGGGGATGTTTATTTAGAGAAGGTAAGTCTCACGTGGACATAACAGCCTTCGCAAGAGAATGATGCCTGTTCGGTGTAGGGTTAGCATCAAAACGCAGGACACAGATGTGGGATATGAGGAGAGTAACGAAGGCCCAGCAAAGACTTCTGGGAATCGGAGCTCTCTACCTATGGAATGAGCTGCCCATCGGGGTATGGAGATCCTTACACGTGAGCATGTGCAAGCATAAGTTAGGAGACTAATAACTGGCACATAAATTATTGAAGAAAGGCGGGCATTAGGGGAGAACAGTAGGACTAAAGGGACTACGTTCCCTCAACTGAAGCTACTTAGCTGATTAAACCGTTAGTTTATTAAAATCTGTTAACGTGCCAAGTTGTCCATTATCTATTATTACTGTACCTTGACAACACACAGAACGCCTTCGTTAGTGTCCTTGTCTGTGCTGATTTTGAAATTCCCGTTTTCATTGCCCTTTAAAATGGTAAAATTGGCTCTCCAATTGGCACTGTTCTTTAAATCCTTATCTTCCACAGACAGTCGTAAGATTTCCACGTTGTATGTATTTTCCTCTACTGATACTTCATACTGAAACGAGAGGTCTCATTAAAAATATCATAATAAAGAAAATCTTTACATAAAAAGTAAACTATATCTTCTACTTCAAAAGCACTTGTTCTTATCATTTTTCCCTAGGTTATTTTAAAACTATTGAATCTCAAATAGTATGGTTTCATGAAGACATCTTTTGAATGAAAAGAATTTCATCACAAATGAAGACTAATGTTATAGATCTTTAACAAGAGGTCAGTAATATAAATAATACTATGAACAAATAAGATAGATTTATATGTCTACTATTTAATTTTATTCAAAAAATAAGCATATACATTTCAAGGCATGATATTTATTAATTCAGACCAAATAACAAGTGCCAATAGACAGGGATAGATTTTGGAAATATACTTACAGCATTTTGTCTGAAAACAGGTGGATTGTCATTTGAATCTGCTACTATTATACTACAAGTCGATGTACCCACCAATCCAAAAAATTGGCCATCCATGTCTTGTACTTTCATTATCAATTCATACTTGTCAACAACCTTAAAACAAAGCAAATATTTAATTAATTTTTTACAACCTTGTTTAGATCTATAAGTGATATTTTAATTATATATTCTTCTATTTGTGTGTATTTATGCTTTTATTTCCATATGTGCATATACTCTAAGAATCTGGTTGACAGGGATAAAGCTGAAAAGGTAAGAAGAGGTTAAATTACAGAGTTATACTAAGTAATTATATTTATGCTTTAAAATATGTTGTAATTGATTTCAGAGAGGAAGGGAGTGGGAGAGAGAGATAGAAACATCGATGAGAGAGAATCATTGATTGGCTGCCTCTAGCACAATCCAGGCATGTGTCCTGACTAGGAATTGGACCATGACTTCCTGGTTCATAGGCCAACACTCAACCACTGAGCTATACCAGCCAGGCTAGACTTAAGCTTTATTTCTTGAAACCCTCCAGTAGCTCCCCTCTTCCTCAAAGTAAAAGGCCTAGTGTCCTAAAGACCCTCTAAGGAGCCGAGCGCTGTAACCATAGACTTATGCTTTACATAGCAGGTGATAAGAGAAAGGCTGTCTTGAAGTCACAGAGGTAGCACAATTTAAGAGCATTTTGAGTTTTTGAAAGAATATTTTTGAAGATGGTTGAAATTGCAGAATTTCGAGTAAGCTGATCTGGAAGCCAAAGAAACCAGTTAAAGAACTTCTAAAACAGTCTAACACATGTGGTCCTAATCAGAGGCCGGAGCAGTGAGGACAGAGTAAAGGCGACAGGGAAGGTAGGTGGGAGTCGGAATGAGAGCAGATTCTGTACACAAGTGAAGAGGGAAAGAAGGGTTGACAGTGATGTACAGGTGTCCTACTTGGAGAGATCATAACCAGAAGGACCAATGTGGAATCACCAGTGTGTAGATGGTGGTTGAAGTTATGGCAGGAATAGATAGCTAGAAGAGGTGGAATATGAGAAGATTTGAGGATATAAGGAGCAATAGCATTTCAAGGGCTGAGGAAATAAAGGGGAAGAAGACTAAGCAAAGGACACCAAACACAAAAAGCCAAAGTAGCAGGAGAAAAACAAGAAATCCAAGGAATGGGAGTTTCAGGAATTGACAACAGAGATAGACTTAAGTTGGACTTGGCAATTAGGAAATCACCGAGACTTCTGGGAATGGATTTCACAGCTGGTGTGTGAAGGTGAGATGGAGTCATGAGTTTGTGACACAACCATCTCGGTTGCCTTTCTCTCCTGTCTAACTATTCTTTAGCCACTGGTTGTTTAAAGTTTTCTTCTTTTGCTATTTCCCTGTCTCATTTTCAGGTTCCTCTTACTTATCTCCCTCTACATTATTCAACATCCCACCCCAAAATGCTCCACCCAGAGGCTCTGTGTCTTTACCTCTCTTGTTCATTTCTTTATTTCCTGTATTATTCCCCATAAAGTTCTGTTAGAGGATTTTTTTGATCAGGCAAGCAGACCTGGGTTTACCCCTCTACTTCCCCTCCCACCCGCAAAGCTGTATCTTATAAGCTTTGTATCCTTAAATTATCTTTTCTAAGTCTCATTTTTCAGTCTGAACCAGTGAGGAGAAATCCTTGTTTTCACTTAATTATCACATCATTTCTACATATTAAACAGACAGAAAAAATATGTTCATATTGTTCCCTTCACACTTTCCCATTTATTATTACCATTATGTACTTTATTATATAAAATCTCTAATGCCACAAATGCATTAAAAAATAATGAAATATCTGTTCTACTTTTGATTTCTTTTTAAAGGTTCTCACTATCCCTCCCTTTTTCTTTGGCATCATATCACATTGATGTCTTTTTTTAAAAAAATATATTTTATTGATTTTTTACAGAGAGGAAGAGAGGACAGAGAGTTAGAAACATCGATGAGAGAGAATCATTAATTAGCTGCCTCCCGCACACCCCCCAACCAAGGTACATGCCCTTGACCAGAATTGAACCTGGGACCTTTCAGTCCACAGACCAACGCTCTATCCACTGAGACAAACCGGTTTTGGCTGGTGTCTTCTTTTTAATATCTCTCCTCCTCATATTGATCCTTATACTTACGTTATTCTAGTAGCAGTGGGAAGCATTTGAGTGTTCCAATAAAACTACTTTACATATGAAATTGATTAACCAGCTCAGTCAATAAGGATTTTGTTGGCCTAGTTAGATATAGGCTAACAAAATCAACTCAATCAACAATCTTTCCGACTGTCACATTTCTCCTTACAGGTTGAATGTAACACCTGTCTCGTCAAACAAGGAAACTATTAAAATCAAATAAAACTATGCATAAAGCATTTGAATACAGCATACTATATATATCAAAATATGCTATTACTATTATCCAAATAGTGTTGCATATTTTTAATAAACCTTACCTCAACTAATCCTTTCTATTATAGATAAAAAGCTCATAACATTTTCAACAATCAAATTTTAAAAAGAAAAAAGAAACAGACATCTCTCTAACTGGATATGGGCTATCCTCGTGAATAAAACAAAACGAATTGTCCTTTCCAAGAACTGGGTCCTTGATGGAACTAGAACCCACTAGACACACACAAGAAAAAAACACTGATAATAATAACTTCCATAAGAAATGGATTTTGCCCCTCCCCCCCTTCTACATGCCAGTTGATCTGTATTTCTATTCCCTATGGCTTCTCTTGCTTCAAGAAACAGAAGTCATATACACACCAGATTAATGGCCAGGAATTCTTATTATCTTACGCCGAAATAAAATAATAACATGAGAACTCAATCCCAGGAAGAGCCAAGGGCAGTGGGCGGGGCAGCAGAGGGACCTCCAGCCCAGGAGGAAGAGGCCCACAGAGTGAGGAAGTACCTCTCGGTCCAGATTCTGGGCCACCAGGGTGAGGATGCCGGTGCTGGGGTGCACAGCGAAGAGCCCGGGGGAGCGGGGCGTCTGCGACAGGATGCTGTACCTCAGGCGTGTGTGCATGGTGTCCGGCTCGTCCCGGTCTGTGGCAGAAACCTGCCCCACAGAAGTGCCTGGTGTGAGGAGAACAAAGAAGGGTTCCGTTTGCAGCCTTGTGAAGTAGCTTAGGAGTGCCTGCCCTTCTCGCGTGCTAACAATGACGGTGGGAGTCAGAAGGCGGTAGTTTTAAGAGAAGAAACAATAGAAAGAAGAGCTTTAGAAAACGGTATCACCAGTGGCTGTCTTCAACACCTCCCTAAATAAAACCTGATAAAAATACCTATGTTGATTTCAGTTTTGTGTTTGTTTTGTTTTGTTTTGTTTAAATTTCTTTATTGATTCAGGTATCACATATTTGTCCTCATCCCCCCATTCCCATCCCAAACCCCTCCCCACACATGCCCCACCCCCCTGTGGTCCTGGTTAGGCTCATATGTGTGCACACAAGTCCTTTGGTTGATCTCGCCTATATATATATATATATATATATATATATATATATATATATCAAATTGATTTTTAACAGAGAGGAAGGGAGAGAGCCAGTAAACGTCCATGAGAGAGAAACATCGACTAGCTGCCCCCTGCACATCCCCCACTGGGGATGTGCCCACAACCAAGGTACATGCCCTTGACCGGAATCGAACCCGGGACCTTTCAGTCCGCAGACTGATGCTCTACCACTGAGTCAAACTGGTTTCGACTGATCTCTCCCTTTTATCCTCACCCTCCCTCTGAGGTCCGACAGTCAGACCCACGGTTCCTTGTCTCTGGGTCTGTTCTTGTTTATCAGTCTAGGTTGTTCGCCATTTCCCCTAGATGAGTGAGATCATGTCCTACTGGAAATATACTTATAAGAACCTGATGAACCAAAAGATAGATATAGAGACAGTAAAGCAACAAGCAGATTGTCAAATTACAGTGGGGAGGGGAGGAGGATCTGGGGGAGATAATAGATCAACCCAAGGACTTGTATACATGCATATAAGTACAACCAATGGAACATAAAACTCTGGGGAGGGAGGGGATATGTGGGAGGGAGGGAGGGGGGCAAAAAAAAAAATAAAAAAAAATATGTAAAAATAAATAAAATTAAAAAATTTTAAAAAATGTGAAAGTATGTACATTTACCTAAATAATGCTTATCAAGTGAATAATATTAAATGAGAAAATGATAATTGAAAAATTAAGTGATTCTTATGTGCCCTAATGCAATTCCTAATGAATATTAATATGATCAGACTAATTGCAGCTCTTGAAAACTCATTTATTCTTAACAGAAATGAAAAGAATCAAGCCTAATGTTTTATATTTCTAGTTTCTGCATCTGGCTTTGCATTTAATGACTCAAGCTAAGGTTCTTTCCCACCAATGCTTCTTCAATTTGAAGACTAATTGCAAGAAAAACTACTGACTCTAACGTGAAGAGAAATCCTATTTTCCAGAAGTCTATTTCAAACATTCCAACCTCTGTAAGGCTTGACTACATGATACTTTTCCAAATTCCCACTTAGATACACATAGCTTTGTTGCCTTTATGTTTATACTTTCCTAAAAAAAAAAAAAAAGAACCAAAAATGAGACAAGCAATAATGGTTATGCTGAAAGGCAAATTGCCTATTCTATCCTGCATGTCCTCTGCTTGGAGGGGAGAATACTGATAAACCCCCATAATGATAAGATGAAATAAAGTATGAAAACCAAATACGGTACATAGTGTGAATAACTGTCATCTGCCTTTAGTAGTTGGTATCATACTGTTAATACATAAAGCTTCTCTACTGTCCTCTAAGATATTCACTGTTAGTGTTTGATGGGATTAAATATATTCTGTGAATAGATTCCGGTCCAATATCATCTCGGGATGACTGGCCTTAAATATGAAAAACTGGTTATCTCAAAAAATGTACACAAACATATTTAACATAACATATTTTACTCTTAGATGTACCATAAAGCCTTAAGGGAAAAGGCTATTCTAGGTCTAATACGGGTAGATTTAACTAAATGAAAGACCTGAACTATTCTACTGCCTAAAGGAACGTTAGTAAAATTGAGAAGAAACAATTGACAGAAAATATTCGCAAAGTGACAAGTTACTATCCTTAATATGTAAAGAACACTTTTAAGTAGATAAATAAATAATTAGGAAACATACGAACACCAAAAGGAAAGAAAAGAACAAAGAAATGAACATACATTTCATGAAAGAACTAGAGGCCTGGTGCACGACATTCTGCCCAGAGCCCGTGGGGGATGTCTGACTGCCAGCTTAGTGGCTCCTGCGACACTCCCCCTGTGGGAGTGCACTGACCACCAGGGGACAGCTCCAGCATTGAGCATCTGCCCCCTGGTGGTCAGTGTGTGTCATAGTGACCGGTCGTTTGCTGTTTGGTCAATTTGCATATTACCCTTTTATTATATACGATAATATAAATGGCCAAAGAAATCATTCACAAAAAAAGTTTCTCCCAAAAAATATCGTCTTACCCAGTTTTGTGCTTTCTGGAACTTCAAAGCTATAAACTTGCTCTGTGAAAACGGGGTGGTTGTCATTCTCATCCTCCACTCGGATGGGCAGCGGAAGAGGTAAGTCAGCTGAGTACCCGTCTGCGGTGGTCGCATAGGCAATCAGCTGGGAGACAGGGAGAAGCGAGGTCAGAGGCCATTGGTATAAGGTTCTAGCAAGAGAGACACTATGCTCTATCCACCACCTGCCTTACAAATGTTTTCAAGAATAAACCACTTAATTTCTCTTTTAATCATCCAAGTATCAAACGGAGAAACGCTCTAAATAAAGTAAAGACTATTCAGCAATTGGTAGAAATGTCTGCACTTCAAATAAAGTTTCAGAGTACAAGGAAGTCGTGGGCAACCCTGTAGATTCGATTGAGAAGTTCAATGTGAAAAAGAGGCTTGGATTATTGTCTGTATTCACTCCGTCATCAGAAAGCTGAGCAGACAAACTCAGGGGAATGGGAAAAATCCCTACTTCTCCCAAGTAAAGCAGTGGTTTCCAGTCCGGACACTGCCGTGCTCTTTCACTGTCTCACCGCATGGATCACATCCTTTCAGAGTTTTTCCAAAAAAATCCATTTGCCAGTTTCTGTGTTGCTACGAAATTAAGGGCATTATAATGCCAAATAGAACGTATTTCGATTCAGCATGTGACTACAACGCTGAGTTGATAATTTTCTAACCAAAAAACTGATAAATGCCATGTGGTGGACATCAGTCACATTTGTTCACCCAGATCTCTTCCTTCTTCTAGGAAGAACACCCCTTTTTTCTTGGGGAATCATAGTCCCTGCACCGCATGGATGACCACAGGACCCCACAGCACTGACCACATTACACTGAACATGGTCTGAATTATTCCCCAGCGACTGTAAGCTCATCCACGTCAGCACGCTGGCTTAGTAACTTCACTTGAGCTTAGTCTCTGACTTTTGCTTTTGTAGCTAGTACTCAGACACGGTCAGAGAGCATATAAGTGGAAGGAAGACAAGAGAAGCAATCAGAGCAGAAGAGGACAGACCGTGGCCAAGTCCCTGAGAGAGAAAACCATACCACCACCAGAAGTTGACATAAAAAGTAGAAACATTCCAAAATACTGCATCATTTATCTCCTTTACTTCAGATGCCCTCTAAGAAGAGAATGCCAGAAGACAGGAAAGAGGAGAGTACCAGAATAAACATAGTTCAGTCATTTAAAGTCACGTATACCCATCAAATGCCTACATCAAAAACATCATATTCTTCCCTATCCACTGGCCGGGTACAATACAGATTTCCAGTGTCTTTTTCTATGAAAAACAAGTTTAAAGGTTCTTGGTCAACGCCATGTCCACTGATTGTGTAGAAGATGGTATAGTTCTGGGCTGCATCGGACTGAACCTGAAAGGAAAAAATATAGACATAAGAAGTTAAATTCTGTTAAAATGCTCGTGTTTTAAAAATTCAGCTTATGTGTTCATATTGTTATTTCATTTTATTTTCAATATACTTTCATTGATTTCTTTACAGAGAGGAAGGGAGAGGGATAGAGAGTCAGAAACATCGATGAGAGAGAAACATCGATCAGCTGCCTCCCACACACCTCCTACTGGTGATGTGCCTGCAACCAAGATACATGCCCTTCACCGAAATCAAACCTGGGACCTTCAGTCTGCAGGCCAATGCTCTATCCACTGAGCCAAACCAGCCAGGGCTATATTGTTATTTTAAAGAGACAACTTTAATAAAACCATCACTTGCCGAAACCGGTTTGGCTCAATGGATAGAGCGTCGGCCTGCATACTGAAAGGTCCCAGGTTCGATTCCCGTCAAGGGCATGTACCTTGGTTGCGGGCACATCTCCAGTGGGGGGTGTGCAAGAGGCAGCTGATCGATGCTTCTCTCTCATCGATGTTTCTAACTCTCTATCCCTCTCTCTTCCTCTCTGTAAAAACTCAATAAAATATATTTAAATAAATAAATAAACAAACAAACAAAACCATCACTTGTCACTTCATCAACACACAAAGCAGTAAAAAGCATTTGGCAAAAGGTTTTTTTAACGGCTCAAATTTAATGAAAACAATGTTCAGCACCAACAGAAACCAAAGAAAATCTAACTACACGCAATGGGCATAACTTCATATTGTGTGATTTGGTAAAGAAGGAAAAGAACAGGAATGCCGACTGTTGGCAAGAGTGAGGCCTCCTGGGACTCTCGTCTATAGAGAATGGGATGCCCACTGCAATGTCCCTGCGGAGGGAGGGACAAAGATGGAAAGAATGAGCTCTAGGATAAACAGGAAAGATTCTCAGTGGAGGGAGCAGGAAGTCAGTGGGACCAGGGCGGGGTGTGCCAGGAGCAGGAACAAGGCGCTCAGGCTGGGGAGACTGGGGAAGGAGGAGGAGATGGAGGGGGATGCAGTCATGGGGCCCGTTTGCTTGGCGTCAGATGAAGAGATGATATCTGACTTACATTTTGTAAAGATAAGACTTGATAACTGTTAAAACTAGACTTGGATAGATACACAGGGGAGAAACAGGAAGGCCATTTAAAGCGGTGGTTCTCAGCCTTCCCCAATGCCACGACCCTTTAATACAGCTCCTCATGTGGTGGTGACTCCCAACCATAAACTTATTTTCGTTGCTGCTTCATAACTGTGATTTTGCTCCTGTGATGAATCGTAATGCAAATATCGGTGTTTTCCCATGGTCTGACGTGACCCCTGACAGCGGTTCTCCACCTGTGGGCCACCTAAGACCGTGGGAAAACACAGGTATTTACATTCTAATTCATAACGAGCAAAATCACAGTTATGTTATGAAGTAGCAACGAAAATAATGTTATGGTTGGGGGGCACCACCACGTGAGGACTGTATTAAAGGGCAGCAGCGTTAGGAAGGCTGAGAACCACTGGTTTAGGAAGTCGCTGCGGTAATGCAGAGGAGAGTGACAGTTTGCTGGGCTGGCACAGCAGCAAGGTGGTGACGAGTGTTAGGCTCTGGACAGAATTGAAGATTCAGCCAACAGATTTTGGAGTTCGGCCAGGGGCTGGCTGTGCCTGCAGAGACGGGAGCTGAGGAGACAGCATCTCGGAGGGAGCTGGTATCCTGCACTGGCTACTTAGCAGTGAGTGGGTAGAAAGCTGCTATTGTCCTGGCGGTGCTGTGGCTCACAGCCCCGGACACCAACGGTGTCAAGTTTGATCCCCGGTCAGGGAACATGCCCAGGTGATGTGTTTGATTCCTTGTGAAGGGCGTGTGGGAGGCTAACTCTCCCTCTCTCCTTTCCTCTCTTTGGGGAAAAACAAAACACTGCAGTACATGGACACAATAAAATACTGCTCAGCCGTAAAAACAGAAGGAAATCTCACTCTGCAGTGGCATGGATGGACCTGGAGATTATGATGCTAAGTGAAATAGGCCAGTCAGAGAAAGACACATTCACGCATATGTAGAATTTAACAAACTCACAAACACAGGAGAAACACACTCCTTGCCTGCCTCATCACCCCTAACCGCTCATCTGCCTGCCTGGTTGCCCCAACTGCCTCTGCCTGCTTGATTGCCCCTAACCACTCCCCCGCCAGCCTGATAGTCCCTAACCACTTCTACCTCGGCCCTAACCTCTCTGGCTTTGTCCAGAAGGACATCCAAAATGACATTCAGAAGGTCGTTCAGCTGTCTGGTCAAATTAGCATATCATGCTTTTATTAGTATAGATTTAGTGATTTTTCTCACTTTACTCAGCTTTATTACACTTTACGGCTTTATGAATATCTTCAATCAAACCTGTTGTTTTTTTTAAAAAAAAATGTTTAAAGAATGATTACATTGGAATAAAACAGATTTTGGAGTTAAAACACGCCCAGTGAGAGGCATGCAAACCTACCTGCTGAAGAAACAGAGGGAACGGGCCCAGGGAGTTCTCTTGCATGGAGCAGGGGATAGGCGCCCACCGCCTCTTGGCTCGCCTCAGCACCGTTTCTCTAGCGTGTCTTTTCCTCAGGCCCTGCATGTAGAGACAGAAAATTCATAAACAAAAGCATCCCAACCCACTTTGGGGTAAGATAACGGACAGCCCGTACTCCTGACGCCTCCCTGGAGGGTCAGGCTCAAAAATCTCCATACAGACCAGACAGTAAGGCCTCTTCCTTTGGAGGGGGAGAGAGAGTGTATCCAGGTGGTACAGGTTTCAGAAACTAGAGTTTCCCTGCGCATGCCTTCTTAACACTGACCACCCGCTGCTCAGGTGAGGGAGCATCTCTGCCCCCTTAGTTCTTTTTTTTTTTTTTTTTTTAATATATGTATATTTTTATTGATTTTAGAGGGGAAGGGAGAGGGATAGAAACATCAATGATGAGAGAGAATCTTTGATCTGCTGCCTCCTGCACGACCCCTACTGGGGATCCAGACCACAACCCAGGTATGTGCCCTTGGCTGGAATGGAACCTGGGACCCTTCAATCCACAGGCCAACACTCTATCCACTGAGCCAAACTGGCTAGGGCTCCCCTTGGTTCTTATGCAGCTCTTACTTGTTCTTTCTGCTAAAACTTCAAACTCTTAGGTGAACCAGAGCAAGGAAAAAGAATATACTTCAGCCCTATCCAGCCTTAGCAGCAGCAGAGGTCTTCACAGGGTGGGGTCATTTAGGTTCAACAAAGCAGAAGCCCCGTTCTAGCAGTGCTCCGAAAGGGGAGAGGGGGAGAGAAAGGAAACACAACGTTAGAAGAAAGAGCAGCCCTAGTTGGTTTGGCTCAGTGGATAGAGCATCAGCCTGTGAACTAAAGGGTCCCGGGTTTGATTCCAGTCAAGGGCACATGCCAAGGTTGTGGGTTTGATCTTCAGTAGGGGGTGGTGCAGGAGGCAGCCAGTCAATGATTATCTCTCATCGTTGTTGTTTCTAACTCTCTCTCCCTTTTCCTTCTTTTCTGACATCAATAAAAATATGTAAAAGAAGGAAGAGCAGGGGGAGGAGGAGGAGTGGGAGGAAGAGGAGGAGGAGGAGGAGAAGGAGGAGGAAGTGGAGGAAAAGAAGGAGGAGGAGGAGGCGGAGGAGCAGGAGGAGGAGGAGGAGAAGGAGAAGGAGAAGAAGGAGGAGGGGAAGGAGAAGAAGAAGGAGGAGGAGGGGGAGGAGGAGGAGGAGAAAGAGCAAAGGAGAGGAAAATATCCTATGTAACCTTTGGTCCTCTTTGCAATTTGAAAACATGTATATTTAATGAAAAGGAAGCCATGTGTGGGAATATCAGCGCACCCATACCTTCTTCTGAGGCTGCAGGACCACAGTGATCTGCTCCTGGGCCTGTGTCCTCGTGTCGCTGAGCCAGATGGTGAAGGCCCTCCCATCGACTACCACCACGGAGCTGGCCGTGTAGACAGAGCCGTCCCGGAAAACTCTGAAGGCAGGATCGCTGGACTGGACGCGGTCGGCAGACCTGAGGCACTCCACCAAGTTCACTGCGTGCAGACACAGTCACATGGCAAAGCAGAAAGGCACGCAAACAGAAGGAAATGTGGCAACTGATTTCTAAGTCATCTTCAAAGCCATACAGCAGAGATAGACCAGCCACCATGCATGTAACAAACATATAAGCAGTCTCTTCACCTGCATATTTTTTAAAGGGGAATGTTCTTTCAGCTAAAAACACTCCTGATGTTATATGTGTGTGAGGGAGGGTGCTTTAAGACTTCCCGTGCTTCTCCATGGCTATGAAAGGTACCTTCCTAGGACACAGGTGTGTGTCTGCGGTCTGACAGAGCTGGCCTACACGCCCACACACACCTGAGTCAATATACAGAAGCTCAGCCTACACAGCCAGGCAGGTGTGAGTTAGGAAAGCAGACACATCAGGAAAAGCCAAATGTACCTTCGAATTCTTCCCATGGGCACCTCCCCAGCCCCCCACCATCACCTCCCCACCCCCAGAGCTCCCAGTCCTCTCCGCGTTCGTAGTTTCGCAAACCTCCCACCAAAAGGCCACAAGGGGTCTGCTTTCTCTGGGAATGTGGCCCTCTAAGAAAGAGCAAGCAAAGAGAAGTATTCGTTCCTTTAGGTGTTTGGATACCGAGATCAAAATATCAAATCCACCCCATTCTTCAGCTGTCTGCCTTCCCAGAACCAGGCTGGCACACTGCTCCTCACGGAAGTGATAACCTCGCAGAGAATCCACGCTGCCCAGGCATCCCGCTCTCTCTCATCCTAACGGGGAGTGCACAGTCAGAAAGACGTGCCCGTCTTTAGGAGCAATGACCTCTTTCTCTCTTCTCAGCATTTTTAGCACAACAATAAGCTCCGGTCTCTTTCCCGAGAGGAACACCCCTGCCACTCTCGACAGCAGCTCCATTCTTCCTCCCCACAGGAATAACAGGGACATTCTATGTAATAAAAGCCTAATATGCTAAGTGTCCAGTCATCCCTTCAGCCAATTGAAGTATAATAGGTTAATGATATGCTAAGCTCACCCAACCGCTCGCTATGATGTGTACTGACCACCAGGCGGTAGATGCTCCAACTGGTAGCTTAGCTTGCTGCTGGGGTCTAGCCAATCAGGACTGAGTGAGATGGGCCAGATGCGCCCTGGAGTCCTCCTAGGGTTCCTCCCCAACTGGCCAACCTCCTGTATCTCTCTCTGACCCCTCAGGGGATGTCAGAGAGCCAGTTTCAGCCTGATCTCGCAGGCCAGGCCGAGGGACCCCACTAGTGCATGAATCCGTACACAGAGTCTCTAATTTGTTTAATAAAATTAAATGAGGCACTATAACCATAAATGGTATACTCTGTTGAAAAATTATTTGCTATCTCTAGAAAGAGTCATAGCTCTCTTTTTTAAGACATCATGACATGCCTGGCTGGCATGCCTCAGTGGTTGAGCATCGACCCATGAACCAGGAGGTCACAATTCAATTCCTGGTCAGGGCACAGGCCTGGGTTGCAGGCTCAATCCCCAGTGTGGGGTGTGCAGGAGGCAGCCGATCAAGGATTCCCTCATCATTGATATTTCTATCTCTCTCTTCCTCTCTGAAATCAATAAAATATATATTTTAAAACCTATCATGACACTTTCCTACAATATTCCTTGTACCACAGAGAATGTCGGCCTGGGCCAAGCTTCTCAGCTACTGGGAACGTCTGAGGCTCCCTAACTCCTCAGAAGCAAAGAGCTGGGTTCTGTGTTGACGGAGTGGCTCCCCTTGCGGTGCTCCGGGAGGCAGCCCGGTATTGATAACCTGCCCTGATCGCCAGCGCCTTACCTCTCCTTCTCCAGAGCTGCAGTCCTACAGCCATGCAGGGCTCTTTCTACATGTAAGTTTGCATGTACTGTGTTAGACTCTCAAAGCCAGAATGACCACAGACACAAGGCTTGGACCCTGAGCACTCAACTCAAACTCAGTGCAGGCATGCAGAGCAGAAGCATGTATTTACATTATCTCCTGTTGTCTGTAGTTACAACTATGCAGGCTGATCCCTCAATGCCCAGGTCAGGCCAGCTGCTCTTTCCAGGGCAGGTAAGCCACATTTCTGTCCTAAAAACACTGTTTTCACACTGCTCACCTCTGCCCACCAGTCTTTCTGCCTCTAGTGTGGAAGGCGTATGGAATATCACCTTTTCGCAGGCTTCACATGCAAAACTGAAGACCTAGAATGAAAATAAAGTAAAAAGGCTGCATGAATAGGTGCAGAATAAAGAACAAGGCTTTAGTTACGCAACGGAAATAAGTCCTAGAGATGTGCATAGCACAGTGCTCACAGCTAACAATGCTGTACTGTACTCACTATTAAATAACAATGATGAAGGTGGGAGGAAACTTGTGAACGTGATGGCTATGTTTATGGCACAGACGGTGGTGATGAGGTCACGGATTTACACTTATCTAACTCATCAGGCGGCACCATTAAACACACACAGCTTTGTGTATGGAAATCTTACCTTAATACAGGATTTTTTTAAAAACAGAATAAAAGGACATGATCATCTCAACAGGTGTAAAACAAGCAATTGGCTAAACTTGACACCCATTTATAATGAACAAACTAGGAAGAAAAGGGACCTGGCTCTACCGGAGAAGGGCATCTGTGGAAAACCACAGCTACCATCACACCCCTCCGCGGAGGGCCGCTGCCCTCTGACCTGGGGGACAACCGGACGCCCCCTCTCACCCCTTCACTCAGCACTGCGTGGAGCTCGGCCAGCCAGGGAACTACAGAGAACACAAACTGAAGGCACCAGGTTGGAAAGGAAGTAAACTCGTCTGTTTGCAGATGATCTGACCTTGCGCATAGGAAATCCTAAGAAGTCCACCCCACAATAATATGAATAACAAATGAGTGGAGCAAGTTTGAGAACGTAAGACCAAAGTACCAGAGTCAATGGCATTCCTGTGCACGAGCAATAAAAATATCTGAAAGAGCAAGCAAACAACGGCCTTCAAAACAGATATGTCATCTTCATACATCAGAAGACACAGTCCCGAAATACGCCTATCGATGCAACACCATCTCCATCAAAATCCCAAATAGCTTTATTTAATTTTTATCTATCTATCTATCTATCTATCTATCTATCTATCTATCTACCTACCTACCTATCTATTTTTGCAGCAATTCAACATTAATCCTTGTGGAAATGCAAAGGACCCGAAGACCAAAATAAACATGGTATGTGTTCCGGTGACCTCAATCCCTCTCATCTGGTTTGTTTTGTTCAGCCTTCTACTCTTCCACAACTTTTTCATGATCAGCTGATCAAAATCCTTTTAGATTTGTTTCATCCAGAAAACGTGGTTACTTTTTTTTTTTAAATAGATTTTACTGATTTTTTTTTTACAGAGAGGAAGAGAGAGGGATAGAGAGTCAAAAACATCGATGAGAGAGAATCATCGATCAGCTGCCTCTTGCACACCCCCCTCTGGGGATGTGCCTGCCACCAAGGTATATGCCCTTGACCGGAATCGAACCTGGGACCCTTCAGTCCACAGGCCAAAGCTCTAGCCACTGAGCCAAACCGGTTTCGGCAAAACATGCTTACTTTTATTAGCTCTAGCTGTTTGTCCAGACAGCGCTGGATCTCCCAGGAAGCTAATCCTACAGCAGGCAAAACGGCAATTAGACTTATCTTACTGTGCTGGTGAGGACCTCAGGAGATGGCTGGATAAAGGCAGTTACAGGGACCAACATGGGATTGTTTCTCACTTCAAAGTGAACGGTTTTAGCAGCTCACCATTAGTTTTGAGTACTTCTCTTTTCCTGTCATCCACACATTCATTCATGGTAGGCAGGCTTTATTATATTAAGAAGGGTTATTCCCTTAGATCCCTAGTTTGCTCAGGATTTTTATAACAATAAAGATAGCGACCCACTTATTTTGAAATGAATGTATGATCTTCTCTCTCTGAATATATTACTATCTGTTAAAATACAATAATAGATGTCCTGATGTGAAACCGTCATTCCACTCCTGTGACAAACCTTATAGGGCATGGTGATCTTTAAGACATTATTGGTTTCGTTTCCTGCTATAATATTTTAGTATTTTAAGTATATGTCCATAAATAAGATCAAGCTACTCCTTCTCAACTTCATCCAATCCCCATAAAGTGAGTTAGCTTTTTTCTGTCCTCTGAAATGGCTTATATAAGATACAAATTACCTGTCCAAGCAATTATGGAGGAATGCACCTATCACAGGTCTGGGCCTGATGGATGGGAGGGAAGCATGTGCTTGGCTCCTAATTCAGTGTCTTCAATGGTTCTAAGTCTATGTAGACTTTGTATACCCCTGGAGTCCATGTTGGCTATTTGAATTCTGTAAGAAATTGCCCAACTCTGTTTTCAAATTAATTGGAATCATCTATTAATACTTTCACCTAATTTTTAAAACATGTGTCCTCTTGATAAGTATGCCTCCTTTTTATTCTCAATATTGTTTGATTTGTGCCTCCCTGTTTTTTACTTGCTCAATCATAGCAAGGTTTATATTTTCAAAGCATGTTTGGCTTTGTTTATTCTCTCTATTGCTTGTTTATTTTTTAATGTTCTTTCTAAAATATAAATACAGAAGACTATATGTAGCATAAATAGGTACTTTTTAAAACAATAAAATGAAAATTAGAACACCCTCCTTCATTGTTATAATATAAAACATTACTGTTCTCTTCAAGGCCTCTCCCATCTACATTTCCTTCCCTCCTTCAAAAAGATACACGTGTATTTTGCCAAATTTTTGGCTTTTCAATATATGCAGTCACATGCGTATTGTGGATTTCTTTGCCCAAACTGTTTTTGAAATGTATGCATGCTGAGTATATAGCAGTAGTTCATTTTCACTGTTGTATAGTACCTCATGAGAAAGAACATGCAATTAATTCACTAATATCATTTGTGAAGGGGTGAAATCCATATACAGATTTCAATTATTTCTTGCTTTTTGAAAATAAAAATGATTTGATACTATATGTATGGGGACTGAATATGTTATTGAAAATAAAGTAAAAAATGCAAAGGCATAATTATGTTAGCAATGATGAAGTAATGACCTTTGAAGAAATTTTTAAAAATAACTTTTATATAAAAGCGTGCCCAATAAAAACTGCAGCATTCAAAAAGACTTTTTTTTTTTTTTTTAAAGATTGGTGAATTATGGGTTGGCTATTTGAATTACAAAATCTCTATTTTAATGGAGAACCTTCAGGACAACTTTAAATATCTGACTTACATACCCTAGAGTTGCAAACAACTTTAAATCAAAATATAACAATTTAAATGTTTTAAAATGATTAACCTACTGAAGTCTGGGAAAATAAATCGCCTTGGTTCATATTACAGTACTGTCCAATTTCATTAATCGTATGATAAAAAGCTTATCATACAAATCATGAAATGCTGATAGGAAAAGCAAATGCCAAAAGGAGAGTGAAGATGAAAGATGCCATTTGAGACTGTTCCACTTTTACGTGTTGTTCAGTTTTACAGAGAATGAATGTACAAGGTGGGCTACTAAAAGGACACCCTTTTTAAAAATATATATTTTATTGATTTCTTATAGAGAGGAAGGGAGAGAGATAGAGAGCTAGAAACGTCGATGAGGGAGAAACATTGACCAGCTGCCTCTTGCACACCCCCCACTGGGGATGTGCCCGCAACCAATGTACATGCCTCTGACTGGAATCGAACCTGAGACCTTTCAGTCCGCAGACCAACACTCTACCACTGAGCCAAACTGGTTTCGGCAAAGGACACCCTTTTTAATGAAGGAAAAAGAAATTTAAGTAGCCCTAACTGGTTTGGCGCAGTGGATAGAGCCGTCGGCCTACGGACTGAGAGGTCCCAGTTTTGATTCTGGTCAAGGGCATGTACCTTGGTAGGGGGTGTGCAAGAGGCAGCTGATCGATGACTCTCTCTCATTGATGTTTCTAACTCTCTATGTCTCTCCCTTCCTCTCTGTAAAAAAATCAATAAAATATATTTTTTTTAAAGATTTGTAGTTTAAAAATAAATAAATAAATAAATAAATAAATAAATAAATAAATAAAGACACTGCCTTGACTGAGCAGAATAGTTATGGAATTTCAAGTTCATAACTTTTTCTGTTACACCGCCTTCTGCAAAGTGGAAATATCAACTCTCAGATTCTTATCGTCTCAAAGGTAACTTGTAAGATTTACCTGTGTATTCTCAGGGCTGAGATGATTCTACTAAATTTCCTTCTAGCAAACTCTAAAATGGGATTCCAGTTAAATGAGAAAGATGATTAACCACAAGTCAGGTGCCATATATGGAATGCCAACTGCCAAGGGTATTACAACAGAGCCCAACATGTGCCTGGGCTTAGGGACATTCGTGATTCAGAGTGATTCAGGACCTCGCTGTGTCTCAGTGTGAACAGCAACAACCTCCTTTGGAAAAGATAGCGGATAATGCGCTGATCTAACTTTATAGAGCTAGATGCACACTGAAACTTTGATTTCCTTAAGATCTCGGCTTTCCTGTATACTAGTTCTCATTTGCTTCCTTTATTTGCCTTAAGCTTTTTTTTCACTGAGGCAAAAAATAACAGGAAGGATCATGCCCATTTTTACTTGAAAAAGGTTACTATATCCATTATTGTGAACAACCACACACACACACAAAAAAAAGTCTTTCTGGGAAAGGGGCCACGTTCCACGTACTCTTTCATGAACGCTATAAAATCTGGAAAGGTAGAATACCAGTTTGTCAACACAGGCTTCGGGCAGAATTCACAGTCCAGGGAGAAAACATGGTAAAGACATGGTATGCTATGAAACAACAACACGTTCCCTTCCTTTTGAAGAAGAGCCATTTTTAGCAAAAAGGTAGGTTAACTGTGTCCCATTACACCCTATTTCTAATAGATAATAGATAATAGATGACAATGTAATGCCCAAGGCAGGTTGTATACAGTGAGCAATAGTAAACACATATTTAAAAGAATGTTAGTATTTGCAACTGGATAGACATCTCAGAACGGAACTAACGCTCATCAGTGTTCACCATCCCTAGCAGCTTTTGCTGCGTGAGGAATCTCCCCCTCTCCTCGTTCCCTCTTTCCTTTGTGTGCGGAGGACAAGGGGACACGGGAGGACAGTGCACATGGAAAGACTCCCCCGCCCGGGACCCAGCTGGGTGGGAAGGCTGAGGTTCAAAGCCTCCGTGTGGTGCTTTGAAGAGCTCACTTCAAACGTGGGATTGTGTGAGCGCCCCATTAAGGAAGCCATAAAATGAAAACTGTGGCCCTGACCGGTTTGGCTCAGTGGATAGAGCCTCGGCCTGAGGACTGAAGGGTCCCACATTTGATTCCGGTCAAGGGCATGCATCTTGATTGAGGACACATCCCCAGTGGGGGGTGTGCAGGAGGCAGCTGATCAATGATTCTCTCTCATCGATGTTTCTTAACTCTCTATTCCTCTCTCTTCCTCTCTGTAAAAAAAAATCAATTATATATATATATATATTTTTTTTTTTAAATGAAAACTGCTTCTCCAGGATGATGGCAATGTAATAGCCTGAAAAGTTGTGATCAGAGGAGTCAGAAGGAAATCCAGACCTGGTGTAGCCAGGAGAGGTCTTCACTGACCACCTGACAGAGCCAGAGGGAGGGCGCTCCTAACCCGGGGTTTGGAAGGAGAGGCTCCATAGGCACTCCGCACCACTCCCCTGTGAGAAGCCCAGCTGCCCGCTTCCTCTGAACTCAGCAAAGTGTTCTCACAGCAGCCTCCGGAGCGTCCTATCCTGCGGCTGATGCTATCTCTCTGGGTACAGGCATCTTCTTGCCTGCCGCGCCCCAATACCCCCCACCCTGCACTGGGCCAGCGCCCTGCACCGTGCCCTGCCCTCCGGCCAACGGGAGGAATCTGGGAACCAGAAACCTCCTCTGCTGGCCCCGCTCTCCGGCCCTGCCTGCGAGCAGACACCAGCACCCAGAGCGCCGGTGGGGCTCACAGGAGGCTGGGCCCGCTGTGCCCACAGGCACAGGCTGCGCAGTCCCTTGTCAGGAGGGCAGGGTCGCTGGGCATATGTTGGAACAGCGGCCTGGCAGCCGATGCCCGCGTTTGCATGATTCTTTGCCCACAACTATGCCTTATCCGTGGTCGGCAAACTCATTCTTCAGCAGAGCCAAATACCAACAGCACACCATGGTCATGTCTTTGGAGAGCCACAGTCTTTAAACTTAAACTCCCGCCGACGCCACTTCAACACAGACTCGCCCAGGAAGAGCCACCCTCAAGGGGCCAAAGGGCCGCATATGGCTCGCGATCATAACTATCACCCCAATATTCATAGCTCCTTCCTTCAAAGAACAGCAAAGCTGGGGCCCCTCTGCCTGCTGGGGGGCAGGGCGCAGCCAAAGGCAAGCTACCGGGGGGCCAGGGCGCTCTCCCCGGGCCCATCCCGTCCGTCCGTGGGGCCCCGGCCTCCCCAGGCAGACCCCGTGCCGGGTGGCAGGGTTCCCGGGCCCAGGACACGGACACCCCGGGCTAGGGTGGGGTCTGGGCTTGGCAACCCCCGTCCCTCTGACCCCCACCCAGACCTGTGCCCTGGGCGCCCGCCCAGCGCCCCCGCCCCCGCAGGCCAGACCCAGCGGAACCCAGCGCCGTCCGGACCGGAGAGGGAACCTCAGCCCCGGGGCGGCGCGCAGCGCGCCCCCTCCGCCCGCCCCGCGGCCCCTCCGCCCGCCCCGCGCCCCCTCCGCCCGCCCCGCGGCCCCTTCGCCCGCCCCGCACCCCCTGCGCCCACCCCGCGCCCCTCCGTCCGCCCCGCACCGGGTCCCCATCACCGGGTCCCCCGCACCGGGTCCCCGGCCCGTCCCCGGACCGCATCCTCCCGCCGGCTCTGGGCGCCGCCGCCTGGGAGGACGGGGCTCGGCGGCCCCGGTCTTTGGGGGGCGCTCCCTCCCCCGGACCCGGCCCCTCACCGCGAGGGCCAGCAGCAGGCGGGGCGCCCCGCGCAGGGCGCCGGGGGGCGCGGCGGCGGCCATCGGGCGGCGGTCGGGCGGAGCGGGCAGGCGGCGAGCGGCTCCTCTGCTCCGTCTGCGGGGCCGGGGCCGGCCGGACGGGGTGGGTCAGAGCCGCCGCCGCCCCGCCTCCCGTGTCCTCGCCGCCCAGCCCTCCGCCGCGGGCGCCTCCTCCCCTCCCGCCCCGCGCCCCGTCCCGGCGGGTCCGCCCCAGCGCCCCGGGGTGCGGGAGGGTCCCCCTGGCCTCCCGGTGGGCGGCTCCCGCCAGGTCTGCAGGCCCAGCAGCCGCCCCTAATGGGGGCGCAGGGTCCCAGGGGCACAGGAGGCTGGCATGTGCGCCACGGAAAGGGGATTCTGCCCTCTGACCTCCCCAAGCGCCCGCACAGGGGCGATGACTTAGGGCCCAAGGATGAGGTGACCAGACGTCCCGCTTTTGGGGGGACAGTCCCGATTTTTAACAATTTGTCCTGCGTCCCGTGGCGTGTTTTTTTTTTTTTTAATTAAGGTATTATATGTGTACATATCTTTCCATTGCCCCCCCACGCCCATACATGCCCTTCCCCCCCCCCCCCCCAGAGTTTTGTGTCCATTGGTTGTGCTTATATGCATGTATACAAGCCCTTCGGTTGATCTCTCATCTCCCCCAGATCTCCCTCCCCTGCCCGCTGTAATTAGACATTCTGCTTGTTGCTTTTCTGTCTTTATATCTGTCTTTTGGTTCATCAGTTTATAATGTTCTTTAATATCCATAAATGAGTGAGGTCATGTGGTGTTTCTCTTTCATTGATTGGCTTATTTTACTCAGCATGATGTTCTCCAGTTCCATCCAGGTTGCTGCAAATGATGAGAATTCCTTCCTTTTTATGGCAGCATAGTATTCCATTGTGTAGATGCACCATTGTTTTTTGATCCAATCACCTAGGCTGTTTCCAAATTCTCGGCGGTTTTAAAAAGCCCCGATTTTCACCGCGGGACGCAGGGACGATTTTGTTAAAAATCAGGATGTCTGGTCACCTCACAAGGAGCCTTCTAAGAAAGAACACATTTTTCTCAAAAGTATGCCAATCAGTGGTTTAGTCATTACATTTAGCATCTCTCCTTGTATGGTCAAAGGAAACTCCACCACCTAAAACCCTGGACCCTAAAGGAGACCTACCTATTAACTATCGTGTGTCAACAAGCAGAACATGTGTTAACAAACAAAAAGCATGTCTGTGAGTAAAGGTGTTGCAACCTGAGAGAAGCAGGCTAAAACGGTGCTCTGGGGAGAGCAGAGGGAGCAGGCGTCCAGAGCAGAAGCCAGAACGTCCTTCCCTCCTGCACAGGGAGGACGCTGGCCAGGGCAGCGGGGCTGGCTGGTTTCAGTGTGCAGAGCCAGGGCAGCGAAAACCGCAAGGAGTCAGGTCCAGGGGTGTCCGGGGGTTGTTATGGCTCAGCCCGGGGCCAAGTTTGGTAACAGGTTTAGCAGCTTCTCTGAGAAAGGAGGCACAAGATGTGTGGAGGCCCCATTTTGTGAGTAGCCTTCTGGCTCTCTCAGCAACCTCATCCCATTCCCCCACTTCCCCCACATGCTCACATCCAACACATCCCTCAGTGCCCCACATCAAACAGGCGTAAGGGGCTGGTGGGAAGGAAAGGTGTGGAACCCACTTCCTGCCCACAGCAGTCCCCAGGCTACGAGGGAACAGAGGCACCATCACGGCCCAGGAGGTGGACGTTTCCGGGGGGAGGTGGCTGGCGACCCTCGTCCTTCGTGTCTCCCCGGGTTGAATTGTCTGACCTCTGAGCCCCCACCTACCAGATTCACAAGGAGCTCCTTCCTTCATGCATGTGTTGTTGCTCCTCCAACTCCACGGGCATGCTCCAAGGTCAGAACCCTCAGGTGGTCCAGGCTAACCGAGGCAGGTGCTCCGCCTTCATTCACCCCGACCTCATCACCCCAGGAGACTCAGTGCCTCGAGTCTTGGAATTTCCTGAAACTCACAGGTCCCGGCTCCCAGGACTCAGACCTCTTCAGCCTTCCCAGCCCATCTCTGGAACTCTCAAGGTCTCCATCAAGAGATTCGGTCTCACCGACAGAGGCCTCTCCCATGCTCATGAAAAGCTTTTACAATTTCTCTCCACTCCAACCATGGCACCTCCTCCAGAACATAACCTTCACCCAGAACCTCAGGGAACGCCTCTCCAGGATTCCTCTGGCCCAGCTAGCCTTCAGGAACACAGAACACACGTGGATTGTGGCTTTCCTAGGACACAGGTAATTGTTTCCAGGAACTTAAATTCATACGTTGAAGCCCTAACCCCCAATATAACTGTCTTGGGAGATAGGGCCTAGAATGAGGTAATTAAGTTGAAAAAAGATTATAGTGGTGGGGCCATGATATGATGGGATTCCTGTCCTTATGAGAAGAGACACCAGAGAACAGAAAGCTAACCACTTCTTTCTTTCTCTCTATCTACCCTTCCTCCCCCTCTCTCCATCCCCCACCTCTCCTTCCTACCTTCCCACCCTCCTTCTCAGGTGTGGACACAAAGAGAAGGCATCTGTCTACAAGACAGGAAGAGAGCTCTCATCAAAAGTCACATCAGTCTGCACCTTGATTTCGGACCTTCGGCCTTCCCAACGCTGAGAAACAGTGCTCAGGGAAGAACCAGTGGAAGAAAGGGGCATTAGGGTAGGCGTGTGTTCCAGGCAAAGGCAGCAGCAGAGCTGTGGGGAGTCTTGTGAGGACTCCCCATGCCCTGGCATCAAGGGAGTGTCTTAACCAGCTCCTGTGGCTAGGAATGGGGTTAGAAAGAAGCTGGAGACAAACCCAGCTGAGGCGTGAAATTTCATCCTGGACGAGATGAACAATGATTCACTCACGCTATGGAAAGGGTCCTAACGCAAACCAGCCCAAAGGACCACCACAAAGCCAAACACAGGACACAGGGGCTGATAGAAGGAAAGTGGTTTATTCAGGTGCCGGCTACCTGAGAAGATAGCAGGCTCATGGCTTAACAACCATCTTAACATCTCAGGGCAGGCAAAGGGCTTCTCTAGGGGGATGTTGGAAAGAGAACTCAGGAATTCTGGTGACAGGATGTGCAATTTCATATTCTAGCTCAATGGCTCTCCTTCGTGTGTGTCAGCATTTGGCATTTGTTTGTTTGTTTTTTGTCTCTCTGTGGGTTTTATTTCTGGGGACAGGACATTGTAGCCCAAGCCAGCCATTGTTACAGAGAACTGGAGAAGAACCAAGCAATGCTTAGGGAGATGGAGTTACATTTATGACGCGCGGGTCCAGAGGAAAATGTCTCAAATTCTGGGCCCCGACATGGAGGAACTTTCCCTATTTATATGGTTTTCCCTCCTTTGTCTCCCAAATACGGGTGTTTCCGGCCCCATGTTTGGAAATTCTTAAAGAGGCCCCATGTGCTGGGGGGCCTTGAGACCTCAACAAAGGCCTGGTCTCCTGCCAGCACTGATAACTTTGTCCGGGGAAGGTTTAATGGCCTCTCTGAAGTAGGAGTACTCTCATTTTCCTTATTATTTACCCGTATTTTCTGGCGTATAAGACGACTTTTGAAATGAAAAAAAGTCAACCGAAAATTGGGGGCAAAAGACCAAAATTGCACAAAAATTACCTGCAGATGTCGACGGCAAAGTAAGTCTTTTCTTTGAAGTGGGGGGTAGTCTTATACAGCGAATATAGGCCTATACCTATGTTTTAACTGTAAAATTAGTGGGTCGTCTTATACTCTGGAAAAAGTAAGCAAGCAAGCATTTACAGAGGCCACGTAGCAGGGTTAACATTATGAACAGCAGTTTTTCTAGAAGATGGATGCTTCACCATCAGCACTCGCTACACTTCTGTGCTCGAGGCCAGTGAGAAGGGAAATGGTACTGATGCTGCCAGTAACACGCTTATTTATGAAACTATTAATATTTTAGACTAAACGTTTTGTTAGTATATTCTTACTTTTAAGTCTTGGTTAGCTAGTTAAATGTGAGGGGTTTTTATACCCCATACCAGTGGTCGGCAAACTGCGGCTCGCCAGCCACATGTGTCTCTTTGGCCCCTTGAGTGTGGCTCTTCCACAAAATACCACATGCAGGCGCACATGTACAGTGCGATTGAAACTTCGTGGCCCGTGCGCAGAAGTTGGTTTTTGGCTCTCAAAAAAAATTTCAGCCGTTGTCCTGTGGATATTTGGCTCTGGTGACTAATGAGTTTGCCGGCCACTGCCCTATACATAGCTGCATACCTGTTACATAGCTACAGTGAGAGAATTTTCACTCCGGGTGAGGTAATGAACTCAGTTTCATCAATGAGCCTGTGTATGCATTGACACTGCTTTCCCTGAAGGCTTAAGGAATAAGCTACTTGGAAATGTTTCTCTTCGTTCTAAGCAGTCCTAGTTTTCAGTGATTTTAACCTTCTCTGCTAGAGTGAGTCTGACCTGGTTATTTTGGTCTTCCCTGAGACTGAAGCTCTAAGATAGCTAGCAGCTGCTTGTCTCATCTGTGCTGTGAAAGATGGCAGTTAAGCCCATTAGCTCCAGGTTAAACCTCCTGACTGTCCCCCAAGCTTTCATTTTTTGCTGCTACAAAATAAAAGTTATCAACATATACTCCAGAAATAATGTTACAAAGAACATCCGGAGTGCTTTTATTTGTACTACAAGATTCTAGCTGCAGTATAAATAAGAAATAATAACTGGACATGGTATTAGTAATTATCTTAAAATTGCCTGTGTTATAGCACATGTTTGCCCATCGTGAGAATATTAGTCTAAGTCTTAATAAAAAGCAAGGCGTTTTTATAACTTAGAGAAAATCTTTATAGGCAATTAAAATTGTCATGTAAATATGACTTGGAGATAAATTTAAATTGCTTTTCTTTTTCTCATGTAAATTATAATTTTAAATGAGTGTTTGCAAATTTATTTAAAACACGAGTTTCAGCCTGGCTGGTGGGCCAATGTGGCCTGGTTCAGTGGTCGAGCGTGGACCTATGACCCAGGAGGTCACAGCTGGATCC